ATTGGAAGGGGTGTCATATTGAGGATGGAGCAAGCTTGTTTTCTGCTGTTCTAGAGAATAGAACATGGAGCAAAGGATGCAAGCTACAGGAAAAGAGATTCCACCTCAACATTAGGAAGAACTTTCTGACAGTAGTTGCTGTTCGACAGTGGAACACACTCCCTTGGAGACTGTAGTGGGGTCTCCTTCTTTTAAACAGAGGCTGGATGGCCATCTGTTGGGGATGTTTTGATTGAGAGTTCCTGCATGGCAGAAGGGGGTTGGACTGGACGGCCCTTGTGGTCTCTTCCAAGTCTATGATCCTATGATTCTATGACTCTATGATCAGAAAAATATGTTTGAGCACATAATGGTTCCCTCCTCTGTGGCATCCTATTGAATCAGCTCCCTCTTTGAGAATTCTAAATGCCACTTCCTGTGACCTTGTGCAAGTCACATTTTCTCAGCCTTAGAGTATGGCAATGGTGAACCCCCTCTGATTTAATTTTATTGTTCACCGCCTAGATTGGTTTTCCACTGGGGCGGTATACAAATAAACTATATTATTATTATTATATTAAGAAACCTGCCAAGAAAACCCTACGATCTGGTTGCCTTGTAAGTCAGAAATGATGTGAAGGCACCCAACAACAATAAACTGGTGCCACAGTAAACTTCAAATCCCAGGATATAAACTTCAGATCCCAGGATTTCATAGGATGTTGCCATGGCAGTTAAAGCAGAGTCATAGCGCTATAAGCGCACAATGGAAAAGGTCCTCAGGTGTCCCACCATCCCCATTACAGACAACCTCAATGGCCCTGGGGCAGCATCATGGGAGTGGAGGTTATTATTATCATTGTTTATTTGTAGAGCGCTGTCAATTTACACGCTGGTTTTGAAGGGAAGATTATGGTTGCGGAAATTGAAGCTTAAAGCAATTTTGTTTAACTATGTAGGTCAGAAGGGAGATAAAAACAAGATAGCATTACTGAGAAATCGTGTACGATGAATGTTAATATTTTCACACTTGGGAAGTGGGGAGTCAAGTATAGTTTGTGTTAGCTGAGTTTAGTGTTTTGGGGGGGTGAATTGTTATTATTTTGTATAAGAGGAGAGGTTGGGGAAACTCTTGGGTGGAGAGTAGTGTAGATTAGTATGATTTAGGGTATGTTCTTATGGATGATGCTATGTATATATTTTTTCGGTTGTCGCCCCCAAACTATGGAACGACCTGCCGGATGAGATCCGACAGTTGACATCTTTGGACAACTTTAAAAAGGCTGTCAAGACGGATCTCTTCCGGCAGGCCTTTCCGGGATAGATAACTCCGGCCTCAGGAACCCCTCCATAAGATGATTCTGGGGCTTCATTTGTTAATTAAGTATTGCCGTCGCTCGCTGGGATTGACTTTTTTTTAACTATTGTTGTGCTCTATGTTGTTTTAAATTGGATTGATTTAATAATGTTTTAAGGGGGGGAGAGAATCTGACTTGTTTGTATTATGTAATATTTTATTGTTGTTAGCCACCCCGATTGGCCTCAAATGGGTGGGATATAAATTATTATTATTATTATTATTATTATTATTATTATTATTATTATTATTATTATTATTATATAGGATGCAGTGGCTCAAGTGGTGAAGACACTGACTCTGTTGACTGCAAGATCAGCAGGTTGGCAGTTCAAGGACCAGGTGCCATGTAATGGGGTGAGCTCCTATCACTAGTCCCAGCTTCTGCCAATCTATGCAGAACCTATACAGCCTATGCAAATGCAAGTAGATAAATAGGTACCACTTTGGTGGGAAGGTAACAGTGTTTGGTGCAGTCATGCTGGCTGCATGATCACAGAGTAGTCTCTGACAATGCTGGCTCTTTGGCTTAGGAATGAAGAGGAGCACCGTTCTCTATGGTCGGACATGACTTGACAACCTTGTCAATGGGGAATACCTTTACCTTTATGTATATAATTAAGTGGCTGTTTAGTTATCTATGGGGGTTGCAGACTGCCAGAAATAGTGCAAATTGAGTCCACTTTTAGGATTAGGGTTAGTGCTAGGGAATCATAGGGACTGTATTTTATTGTGGCACCAAAGCTCTCTGACAGAGAAGACTCAAGGTCTCAGAAAAAAATACAATTCCCATGATTTGCTAGCACTAACCCTATCCTTAAAAATGGACTCAATTTGCACTATTTCTAGCAGTCTGCAACCCCCCTATGTTTGATGTCTTAAAACTGAATAAAATATTATTCAAAAAAAATTGCATGGTGCTTTACAGGTGCAACTACTGAAAATAATGGGTCTTGCTAGAGGTGTACAATCTAAAGTGTGTGCATAGAGGGAAGGAAGGGAGGAATAATAAAATAAAACTATACAATATAATTATAAAACAAATCTGTTGTTGTTAACTGCCCTCGAGTCAATCTTGATCCAATGCAGCCCTATGGATGAGACATCTCCAAGATGACCCTCTATCCTCCGCTGCTCTGCTTAATTCCTGCAACCCTTAATAGATACCTATGGTGAGCTCCTTAATAGAGTCCCTCCATCTGGCATGCGGCCTTCCTCTCTTCCTTACATCCCTCCATCTTTCCCAGAATTATTGTCTTTTCCAATGATTCATGCCTTCTCATGATGTGTCCAAAGTACGACAGTCTATGTCTTATCATCTTGGCTTCTCTAGCAGGGGTAGGCAACCTTTCCCCTTTAAGGGCCGAGGGACTTCAGCTCCCAGAAGCCTCAGCCATGTTGGCCAATAGTCCCATGTTGGCCAATAGCTCCTGGGATTCTGGGAGCTGAAGTCCCTCGGCCCTTAAAGGGGAAAGGTTGCCTACCCCTGGATCTCTCTGGCTTGATCTGCTCTAGAACAAACTATTTAGGTAGAATACAAAAAATACAATGTAATACAATCAAACTAGCCAGTACATGAGAGCCAGCATGGCATAGTGATTTGAATGTTGGACTACAACTCTGGAGACCAGGATTCGATTTCCCACTCAGCCATGAAACCCGCTGAGTGACCTTGGGCAAGTCACGCTCTCTCAGCCTCAAAGGAAGGGAATGGCAATTCTCCTCCGAACAAATCTTGCCATGAAAACTTCATGACAGGTTCACCAAAGAGTCCCCATAAGTCAGAAATGACTTGATGGGATGCAACGCACACAAACCCACAGCCAATGCATGTAATCAAATAGACAGGATTACAGAACAAGATTAAATTCAAGTTCCAAATGCTTTAGAAAACAAGAAAGTTTTTAATTCAAAGAGAAAGAATGGTTGGGTTCTGGGATGAATTCCTCAGCCCTTCTGATGGAGGCCTCTCTAGTGGATGAAAGAGAGGAGGCTCTTTCACACTTCTCAATTATAGTGCTATGATTCCATCTTAATTGCGATGGCTGCATCCTGGGGAATCCTGGGATTTGTGGTTTGTAGAGGCACTAGGGATAGCCAGTGTGGCGTAGTGGTTTGAGGGCTGAACTATGACTCTGGAGACCAGGGTTCGATTCCCGCTTGGCCATAAAACCCACTGGTGACCTTGAGAAAGTCACACTCTCTCAGCCTCAGGCGAAGACAATGGCAAACCTCTGCTGAACATATCTTGCCAAGAAAACCCCATGATAGATTCATCTTATGGTTGCTGTAAATTGGAAATGACTTGAAGGCACACAGAGGCACTAGAGCTCTCTGGCTGAGAATTCAAGTGCACTCTCCTGACTGACAGCTGTCTAGCAGAAAATTCTAGGTAACATACCACACTATAAATCCCAGGATTCCATAGGACAGGGTCATGGAAGTGAAAGTGGAATCAACTGTATAACTGTCTAAGGCTGTGAGTCCCAAGCTTCATCCTCCAGAATCCAGATGTTTTGGACTTCAGCTCCCATAATTGCAAAATCCCATCGTCTGACCAGGAATACACTTAGGGTTTAATCCCACTTCTGGAGACCGGGGTTCGATTCCCCACTTGGCCATGAAACCCACTGGGTGACCTTGGACAAGTCAGGGAAAGGAATTGGGAGGAATTGGATTACCAAAGCTCCCTAGTAGGCGAGACCCCTCTGGAATTATATTTTACAAAGTACTAAAGGTTGGGATGAATCACTGGTAGAGGGAAGATGCACAGTTGTCATGTACAGGAACACTTCAGTTCAAAACCCCTGGCTTTCAGTAGTAAAATGCAAAAAGCTTTATTCAGAAACTATAGATGTTCATCACAGGCATGTGTTGTCGGCACTAAAGAGCCAGTGTTGTCAAGGCATAATTAAAGCATACCTACATTCAAATTTTAAATAGCCTACATTTTCATTCATCATTAAACCTTTCCCCCTCCCTTTCCCCTTTTCCTTCTACTCTCACACCATCCGTCCTCAAGAAACTGACCTTGGATCTCCAAGAAGAATCTCACCTCCCTTCCCACCTGCTTGTTAACCACAAAGGAATGTGAAACGACTTAGCAAATAACATAATACTACATGTCCCATCATTTAGCACCAGTACTCTAGAATACCTTGGTATTGGTGTGTGCCTTTGAGTCATTTCCAACTTAATACAACCCTGAAGCGACCCTATCATGGGGTTTTCTTGACAGGATTTGTTCAGAGGAGGTTTGCCATAGCCTTTCCCTGAGGTTGAGAAGATGTGACTTGCCCAAGGTCACCCAGTGGGTTTCATGGCCATGCGGGGAATCGAACCCCAGTTTCCAGAATTGTAGTCCAACACTGAAACCACTACACCACTCTGGCTCCCAGCTTGTCAATATCCCTCTTGAATTGTGGTGGCCAGAAGTAGACATAGTATTCCAGGAGATCTCCAGAATCTGCCACCAGAGACGTATCTTCTCATCCTGCTCAATGCTGGGGGCACAGAAAACTGTATTAGAAAGTTGACAGTGTTAGAGTTGCCATAACTCTCTTACACAAAACTGGGACAAAATGTAGGACATTCAAGAAAAATGGAATAAAAACCAAAAACATTACTAAAATAAAAAAAATTAATATAACATTAAATATAAATGGAATAAAACATTAATATAAATATAATATAAACCTTGAGGCTGGATCTCCTTGGGGTTGGGATCTCCTGGATGTCTTTGGGGCTTGCTTGGTTGGGCGGCGGAGGCCCCGCACGGTTGCACCAGGGTCAGGGAGGCCTTGCCGCCCCGGATCGCCAGCTGGGATATGATCCTAAAACTGGGCGGGACATCACCAAAGAGCATGAAAAACTGGGATTGTCCTGAGAAAAAAATAGTATATGGCAACCCTAGACAATGTGTATGTGTGTTGTGTGGTTTCAAGTAATTTCCAACTTAGGATGACCCTAAGACCTATCATGGGTTTTATTGGCAAGATTTGTTCAGAGGAGGTTTGCCATTATCTTCCCTTCAGTCTGAGAGAGTGTGACTTGCTCAAGGTCACCCAGTGGGTTTCATAGTGGACCCTAATCTCTATCATGGGGTTTTCTTGGCAAGATTTGTTCAGAAGAGGCTTGCCATAGCCTTTCCCTGAGGTTGGGAGCATGTGTCTTGCTCAAGGTCACCCAGTAGGTTTCATGGTGGAGCTGGGAATCGAACCCTGGTCTCCAGAGTCATAGTCCAAAACTCAAACCTTGACACCACACTGGCTCTCCCCTTATCATGTGGTTTTCTTGGCAAGTGTCAAGACTAAGAATGGGGAGGGCAGCTATGAAAGAACTAGAAAAGGTCCT